CTAGACCCTGTGTCTGCACATGGTAGATTCATGCTTGAGCTTATGACAGAGGCCCCGGTGTTCCCCGTAATATTTGTAGACCACCAGGAAGAGGTGGGCCTGCTGCATTGTTGGAGGGTTGATTTATAGATCCAGCTGTCAGAAGCAGGAAGGTAGAAATAGGGACTTAAGGAAACATACGTGGAAAACCCCTTCCATGGCCTGGAAGGCTGCAGGATGGCCGAGGGCCCGTGCAGGACAACAGAAGCAGCTGCTCGCTGGGTTCGACACTGTCATCCTCTTCTCTTAATTCCTTTGTGGGCAAAAGTGGACATCTGAAGGTCAGCTGCTTTCGCGGCGTTAGCTTCAGCCTGCTGACAGGGTGCCGTCACATAGCTGTGAGCACGACGACGTCTGCCACAGAGGCCTGCCGGGACCTCTCGTCTGACGTGGTCTCTACCACTCTCCAGTCTTTTTTCCTGCCTTAGTTTTTTCTTTTATTTTTCCATAGCATTTATCACCATCTGACCATAAATCATAGATGTCTCTATTTTCCACTGTCTCTCCAGCTATACTGTACGCTCTGAGTGCAGGACACACAACCCAAAACGTGGTTCTGTTTACTGCGTTCCCCCACAGCTCAGTGAGTGTCTGCTGAATTAGATGAATGTGGCAGGTCTATTACCTGAAGTATCGGCACTATCTAACACTATTCCCTGAGAGCACTCTGGGTGTATTTCCACTGGCCTTTTGCTCATCTAGAGACCTCAGTCTCAGCCCTCTGTATTTGCTCCTCTCACTTCTCTGATCTCATTTCTCATCTTGTCCCATTTACATGTTATGTTCCACCACAATGAATTCATACTGACCGCCCCCAAGGCACCAGGCTCCTCCGTGCAGTTAGCTATCCTTGGGCTGTCCTCCCCACAGCCTCCTGTCCTGTTCCAGGTCTCAGTTCAAACACACCCACACACACACCTCCCTAGCACAGCCACACTCTTCCTCTGTGCTTCCGTGACCAGTGGGCAGAGCTTTCCCATGTAGCACTGACAGCCTTGAGCTGTGATCCTGATTCTCCCACTAGCCCCAGCGGCCCACGGGAACAATGCTGTAACTCCTTCGATTGGGTAGAACAGGGGCCCACTCAGGTGAAGTAGAAGGCCTCTCGTGGGCTGGATCTACAAAGCTTGGGAACCGAGGCAGCTCTGGGGACAAGGCAGGCAGCATACTCCTTCAGTGTTGTGTTGATGTCTCTAGACTTCTACTCCATCCTCCTCTCTCTTCCACCCAATATCCTTATTTCTTACCCCATCACTCTTCTCTTCGTGCGTACCCTTGGCTCGCACACCTGTTTGGCTTCTCATGGCCCCAAGCAAGTCTCATGGCATCCTTTCACCAGCCCCATTGCGGACTGCCAGGTTACTGCCATGTTTCCTCATTCACTCTGCTCAAAGAGAGAATCTATTTGGCCCCCTCCCCTTCCCTGCCAGCCATTTGGATCTCATATGTGAATGCAGGTTCAGTGGCCCTTGGGTCAGGTCCTACCCACCCTTAGTCCAAGCAGCTTTGGTGGAGGGGCAGGGCTAGTACACAGCAGGCAGTCACGCAGTCCAAAACACAGCCACTGTGCCTCAGCAGGGCTATGGGTGTGGGGCTCCTGGAGGAGGGGTGGGAGGGCAGGCAGGTGACACATCTACAAACAGTGTCTGTCTTCATTCATTCATTCATTCATTCAACAAAGGTTTATTGAGTTCATACTACATACCAAGTATTATAGTAGAACTTGGAATCAGAGATTCCAGATCCTTTACAAGTATTAACAACCTTATGTGGTATATTACTACCTATTCCCCTGCTGCATTTGAGACTGAGCCCAGAGAAGTTAAGTAACCTGGCCAAGGACGTACAGTGGCAGATCTGGAATCCAAACTCAGGCAGTCTGATTCCAGGGGCTCTAAACCACTGTGTCTGCCACATGGGATGGATGGACAGATGGACTAGTGGAGTCATCAAATGTGAGGAGTCATTTTTATGGGTTTTTCTTTTTCTCCAAAACTAGGCTTTCTACCTGGCACATAGCAGATCTACAGTAAATATTTGGCAAATAAATGGGTGAATAAATGTCAATATTTTTTCTAGCTTTAGATTATTATTTTTCCAACTGTTGTATCTGATACTGGCCTCATACATTTGTCCCTTTTGGCTAAACAGAAAATCCAAGGGAGGGCCCAAGCAACTGGCCCCTCACCCCAACATCATCCGGGTCTTCCGCGCCTTCACCTCGTCTGTCCCATTGCTGCCAGGGGCCCTGGTCGACTACCCTGATGTGCTGCCCCCACGTCTTCATCCCGAGGGCCTGGGCCACGGGCGGACACTTTTCCTCGTTATGAAGAAGTAAGTGGCAGGCCTATGGCAGGACCTGGAGTGGGAGCTGGTCCCAGCCTCTGAGCACCCGGAGCCCAGGGGCACAGGGAAGAGATCCTCACCCTTTGGGAGATAAGGCCATGTCCGGGGCAGTGTCCCTTTAGGACTATTTTCCATGAAAACAGAATCTCATCTTTATTTAGAAAAGACTTTTCACCTCGTGCTTTCAGTGCATCTGACTGTTGCCATTCTCTGTGGCTGCGCTCCGTTTTGTGTTTTAACGTAAACAGTTCTTCCTCCCTCTCCACACGCCCTAGTAATGTCGTAATGGATGTTTTAAGGAAATGAGCATCTCTTGTGTCACTTTCAACATGTGAGCCCCCAGCTCTTCCTTCCTAATTTCAGGATAGTGGGTGGGAACAGAAAGGATACTTGGGGAAAAAACTGAAAAGCTCCAGAAGAAGAGGAAAGGCCATCATCCTAATAGTAAATAAGATGCTAGGGATCATCAATGCGCAATAGCCAGAGGCCCTGTCACCCTCTCCATCAGCTACCCCTGCACCCTGCGCCAGTACCTTCGTGAGAACACCCCAAGCCCCCGCCTGGCCTCCGTGATGCTCTTGCAGCTCTTGGAAGGTGTGGATCATCTGGTTCAACAGGGCGTTGCACACAGAGACTTAAAATCTGACAACATCCTCGTGGAGTTGGATGCAGGTACGTGCCCAGCCGTACTGTACCTCGGGGCTTCAGGGGGCACTAGACAAAGTCTGGGAATATCAGGACCCTTCAGGTCCTGTTTGGTTTTTATGCCCTATTATAAGTTGTTGTGTCTAAATTTAGCTCTGTACACAAGACATGAACAATCTCTCCTTCGAAATGGAGGCTTTGTTCTCTCTGTGGGATTTGTGGAGTGATAGTTAATGTGCCCAAGCTCCTTTCTGTTGCCCACTTACAGAAAAATCTCAGTGGTGGAAGTTTTCTTGAATAAAGTTAAAGAGAAGAAGACCTTAGCTCAATGTAAGAAGGAATTTTCAAATCATGAAAGCTGTCCAAATGTAAGTCCAGCTGCTTCTGGAAATAATGAGTTCCCCATCACTGGAAGCATTCAACTAGAAGCTGGATGGCCACTTGCCTGAGAATATTGTAAAGGAGAGTCATCTGATAAATTTTGAACTAGATTTAAAATAATTAAATATGCAATTAAATTATTAGAGGAACTGGCTTTTTAAAGGAAGTCTGTGTGAATACTTTTACAAATAATTCTTAATGCACCTGTTTCTTAGGTTTAGATTTGGGGTTTCAAGTTCAGATCAAAGAATCTTGGGGTATAAGGGCCCTTTGAGGTCATTTGAGCCAAGCACCATCTGTTGAGTAAATCACAAGCAGCAGATTCAGTCGTGGGACAGCTCTGATTACTAGATTTAGATTAAGGCAAACTTTTATCCAGTTCTTTGCTTGGTGCTTCATCCGGGAGCTTTTACCCCTGTCACTCACGTCTTGACGTCTTGATGGCGGCTTTAGTAGGAACATAGGAGGGCCTCTCAGAGGAAAAATTAGAATCAGTGGCTCACCTTGCGTGTCCCTCCCCAGATGGCTGCCCCTGGTTGGTGATCGCGGATTTTGGTTGCTGCCTGGCTGATGAGCAAGTTGGGCTGCAGCTGCCCTTCACCAGCTGGTATGTGGATCGGGGCGGAAACGGCTGCCTGATGGCTCCTGAGGTGAGTCCCGCTGAGCGTGTCATGTGCCATCAGCAGCCTCTTCTGTTTCCACTGATAGGACACAACTGGATACCTCATGATTTTCTCAGCACTTGCATCTTTTATGACCCATAATTTGGCACCAATCCCTTCCTTGCCACTGTGTTTTAATGTGGGTCTCTCTAAAGTTCCTAGGAGATGGAAGCTTTGTCAGCACAGGCAGGCAGCCTAAGCAGATTCTTCTGGATCTGAGCTCAAATTCTTGGGTTCCTTGGGAGAGTTCAGATTAGCCTGTGCCAAGCAAAAACATGAAGTTAAAAATGCCAGCAGAATGACTGACCAGTCACCTTTGCTCTCCGAGCAGGTGTCTTCAGCCTGCCCTGGCCCCAGGGCAGTGATCGACTACAGCAAGGCTGATGCCTGGGCAGTGGGAGCGCTCGCCTACGAAATCTTCGGGTTCTCCAACCCCTTTTATGGCCATGACGGGGCCCATCTTGAAAGCCGCAACTACCGAGAGGCTCAGCTGCCTGCACTGCCCGAGTCAGTGCCTCTAGATGTGAGGCAGCTGGTGAGGTCACTGCTCCAGCGAGAGGCCAGCAAGGTGAGGCTGTCCCCAGGTTTTGTGCAGATGGAACCCTCAGTTTACGTTCCAGAGTAAAGATCAGGTTTGGGCAAGCACTAGGGTGACAGACAGCTCCTGTCTCACAAAAGTAAAGGTCAAGTAGAGAACAAAACAGATTTTAACATAAATAAGAGTTGGGGAGCTAGCCACCAAATTAGTCAGAATTCCAGCAATCCAGTTCTTCTTGGCTTTAGTTGCTTCAGTTACTCAGAGGGAAAAAGGTGCATTTTCAAGAAATGTCAATAATGGAGATGTACTTTATGGAAACAGCTGAGATCTAACAAGACAGACGTGATGACATCTGAGAGCAGACGTGGACATTCTGAAATTAAAGGAATCGAAAGGCTAACACATGGGAAGCCACAGTTGGAGTAGGAGCAGGTCCGGTTCAGGTGGCATGCTTAGTGGAAAGAGCAGAGACAGACCAGGGTTCAAATTCTTGTTCTTCTACTTACCTCTTACTGTGCACAGCATGCTGTCATGGTCACAGTAATTCTTGCCGCTACCAGTGACCGTGAGATACAACACCCCTCACTCCAGACAGTGCTCATACAGAAGGTGGTTCATGGGCCTCCACAATACGGAGGTTATTCCAACTGGGGGGAAACACGTGGAAAAGCCTGGACCCTGGGTCAGAGGCCTGGTCAACAGAAGAGAACAGCCAGTATATGTCAGGAGAGAAGAAGGTAGAGAAGAATTTGGTTGGGATCAGACAAGGGAAGACCCTGAAACGATTCATTAACAAAGAGGGCTGTGGGCCAGATACTTTTCACAGATGTTCTAAACCTCAGCTCCCCTTCCTGTTGCAGAGACCATCTGCCCGAGTAGCGGCCAATGTGCTTCATTTAAGCCTTTGGGGTGAACATACTCTGGCCCTGAAGAATCTGAAACTAGACAAGATGATTGGTTGGCTCCTCCAACAATCGGCAGCCACTCTGTTGGCCGACAGGCTTACAGAGAAGAGCTGTGTGGAAACCAAAATGAAGATGTTATTTTTGGCCAACCTGGAGTACGAGGCACTGTGTCAGGCAGCCCTCCTCCTCTACTCCTGGAGGGCAGCCCCGTGATGGCTCTGATGTAGCTGGTGCATTACTAAAAGAACGTGGCAGCATCTGTGTCGTGATGGTCTGTGAATGCTGAGAGGGGGCTCCCAGGTGTGAGTGAGAGTCAGGAGTAAAGATGGCGCAGAGAGGCCTGGTCAACAGAAGAGAAAGCCTCTGGTTTGGCAAATGAGAGGAACAAGCTGAGTGACGTTTACGGTCTGTAGCTACTAACTCTAGCTGTGTGGTTTTGGATGCATCATATAACCTGTATGGTCTAAAGTTCTCTTACCTATAAAACGAAGAAAGTGGTCTGGACGGGAGTTGGCAGACCTTTCCTGTAGAGGGCCAGCGAGTAAACACCCGGGCTGTCGCAGCCACTCAGCTGCCACTGGAGCACAAAAGCAGTCTTAAGCATGAAAACAAACGTGGCTGTGTGCCAATACAGCTTTATTTAGGGACACTGAATTTTGAATTCCGTGCCATTAAGTATTCTTCTAAAACGTAAAAACCATTTTTTGCTTGCAGGCCATTAAAAAAAAAAAGGCAGCAGGCTGGATTGGCCCACAGGCCAGTTTGTCGACCCCTGGTCTAGATGACATCAAAGGGCCTAACGCTAAAACAGTGCTGACTAATCACCGGGCCCCTCCGAGTATCTCTGTAAAATTAATGCACTATGATCTCTGCCTACAAATCCAAAAGAATGAGTTCTCTGCACTGGGTGAGAAGATCACGCAGGTGTTAACTGCTGACCAAGAAGCCCTACCTTATGCCTATGTCCTGTCTTCACAGACCTCTGAAGAGTTAATGGCCGAGCCAGTCTGTTAGATGAGGCTGGGCTGAGGGGCGGACCTGCGCTCCACTTTAGAGAGAAGACCCAGGCCAAGGTGGTGGCTGTTAGTGGCATGTTACCTGAGCTAAGGCAAACATTTGTACAGGTCGGTATGTTCAGGTTTCAGAATGAAAAACCGAAAAACCATGCAGTCCAGAAGTAGGGAGCCTCTGCACTTCAGCCGTGCATTCTGAACAGCTCTGGGGTGTTTCTAACGGCGCATTCCACAGAGCTCCACCAGCTGCCGCGTGGTCTAGCAGAGCTGAAACGGCTGATGAGACGGAAATGAACGGCAGTGATTTAGATTTAGACTTGCTGATTTCCTACTGACTAGCATTTCTCACAGGAATCGTGAAGAATTAAACGCACGTTTGTAACTGCAGATACGTCTGTGCCTTGAACTGTTTGGCTTTAAGACTGATCCTTACACCATAAAGAAAAGTTTGTGGGCAGAGACCAGCGACAGGGAAGGGCTTAACACAGATTTGCACGTGCTTTTTAGGGACACGGCCATTGCCTGAGGCGCGCGAACATACGTTTAAGGTTCTTTTCAACCAAGCAGCTGTACAGTTCTATCGTAAAGGCAAGCGCCGTCACCCTAGGTTTCTCGTTTCAGTGATTCCCCACCGGCCTCAGTGTAGTATTAACCTTATTTCATCCCTTGAGAAGTTTGGAAATGCTATCATTTCAGAGTTAAAACAGTCCAGTCTTCAGCAAAATTAAGAGGCCACTTACTATCCTGTATGCAGCCCTTACCGAACACCATCCCCACCATCAGCAAAGCGCCGCGGGGCCCGATGAAGTGTGAGGGCAATGTTTCTCTTTATTTTATAAATGACAGTGACTGCATGTATGAAAAACACTGCTTAGCATCAGGTGAAAAAATTTACATAAAAGTCACTCCCTAACCCCCATCCCTTGGTACTCAATGCTGCATCTTCCACTGAGGTAAGGCTGTGCCATTGTCCCACGGCTTAAAAAAACAAAACAGCCACCATAAAGGGAAAAAAAACCCAGTCCTACTGAAACCCTCTGTCGTCTCCATGCTGGGAGGGGTCCCCGGGCTCTGGCCTCAGTCAGACTTCTCCTTTTCCTTCATGTGTAAGAAGACGACGCTGAAGAGGAAGAGCCCCACCATCATGGAGAAGGCACTGGCGTAGTAAGGATAGGCCGAGGGGATGAAGCGCTCATACTGCGTGTGCTGGAGTGGCCTCACTGACACCTGCAATAGGACAGAGGTGACAGGCCCCGGCCACTCTGAAGCCCAAGTGGGGCACATGCTGGCTGAAAACAAACTGCGACCTGTGCTCACCTGAGTGGAGGAGTATAAGTGTGTGTAGCCTAGCCGGTTGTAATCCACTTTAAACTGGAACACACCGTACACATCAGGCAACTTGAACTGGACGCTGTACTTGCCACCTGGGGAAGAGCGACACAGATAAAGCAGGACTTTCCCGCCATGTTTCTGTTGGCCTCCCGAGAGCAAGCTAGAGGCAGGGATTGCCTTCCTGCAGCTTCTCATGCAAGAATTATTTACCTTTCTTCTTCAAGAAGGTCCTAACGAAAGGATCTATGCGGACAAACTCCAGCTGAATATCATCACCGTCAAAGGGGACCCATCGGCCGTTTGAGAGCTGTTCGATCACGATGCTATACTCCTGAGATAAAAAGGCCAGTTAGCCAGCGGGGACAGTGACTAGAGGGTGCCTCTGTCCTCAGAGCTGTGCTGAATCCCCAGGAACTCCCAGGAGTTGTGACAGACTGGGCGAGCCCTACCGCCCACCCCTGGCTAACCCGACTCGCATCTACACCTCTTCACAGGCCCATGGAAGTCTGCACCCCAGCCACGCTGCACCCCTAGCACGTCAGGCACTCCCAGACGTCCCTGCTTCCATGCTTGCTGCTCTCTTGCCTTTCCTCTTACAGACTCGTCCTCGAGATCCAACTCCGATGCCTTTTCTCTTGGGGTCCCCACTCCCAGCAGAGTGACTCTGTGGAGCCCCTCCCACTTCTGCACTCCTGCAGCAAAGCCACACCTCCCCGCAAGGCCCCTGTCAGGATACCAGTTCCTCTGACTTCAGGGTAGAGGTTAACCCAGTCATCCTTACTTAGGCCACTTGGGCCCAACGCAGACGTGCCCATAAATGCTTTCAAGCTGAGTTAGTTTGGCCAAAACTAACGGGCCCTCCCACTCCAAGCTCTTACCACTAGGTCAGTGACGGTGTAGGCATTGGGTGGGGCTGTCTCGCCCACCCGGTGGTGGGACACAGGCCCCACACGGAGGACGCCTTCCTCCTTGAACACCCAGCGGGACAGGGCCACAGCTAGCTCGTAGTTGCCTGTCTGGGAATACCTGCAGGAGGCAAACAAAGGCTATAGCCCCAGAACCAACTCTTTTCCAAGCAGGTCTATTCACTCTCTACCAAGACAACGGCACTAAGCTCATTCCCACCTGTAGGCCATACATATCTAGGTTAAAGGGAACACAGAAAAAAAGTGAAGAGAGATGAAGTGCTGGTGCTTTAGGGGTCACCTACACGATAAACACACAATTTTTGAAACATCTCCACAGAAGCCATTACTAGAAAAGTTTGGGGTGCCAACACCAGCAGCAGAGCAACAAAGTCGTCTTCAAGTAAGTTTAAAGCATCTAAAGACACTTAGCCTTTGACATTTTTAGCTAAAAGGCTCCTTCTTCCCCATCTGCACAGACCCCACCACCCAGACCACATGCCCCTTGGTCCCCTGGCATCCACCTCTGGGAGCTGGGCGTCGCCTTCTGCACTGCTGAGTTGAAGAAGGCGTCGCTGAAGAAGTCGAGGGAGCCACTGAAGATGACCCGGGCATTGTTCCTGGCCTGGAGCCCAGCAATCAGGAGGGTGTTCTTCCCCACTGCGTGTGGATACTGCGAACAACACGGGGCTGTCACCCAGGAGAGCCAGGGCAAAGGACGAGCCGCTGGGCCTCTCAGGCAAGAGGACAGCAGCCTAGACCTGAACAACCTCCTAGGCTCCGCCTGAGGCGCAACCCGAGACCCCACACTTCTCCCCACTTCCCGCTCCCACCGATGCCTCATTTCATCAGCTTCAACAAAGTCTGCTTTCCTGCTTAGTTCTCATCTTCAAATAAAATGCTCTGCTACCAGGCCCAGGAGCCGGAGCCCGAAGGCTACAGTGGCCCCTCACCTGGGTGATAGGTTTATCCGGAAAGAAGGAGTAAGAAGTGGAAGAGCCCGTCAGGATATCTAATACCAAAGGATTGTCAGGATCAGCCACCATCCTGTAGAACGAAAAGAGAACCATTGAACTCTGACCCCAAGAATTGAGCCCAAAGGACCTGAGGTCCCCTAAAGGCCATTTCTTCGCAGGAATGAATTCTACTTCCTTAATAGCAAATCACATAGCTCTCCCTCTTGCTGTAACTATGAAGTTTCACTCTTCGTATCGTAATCTCATCCATTTCTTCTGGAGGAAGGAATACCCCCCAATAATCACAAGTTCAGCTGTTTTCTTGACAAAATAGAGGGACCCCGCTTCCCCCAGGTTTCTGTTGGCTTCACCCCGCTCGCTCACCCAACACCTCGAAAGAGAATGGGGTTTAGAGATGACTTCCCAACGATGGTTGGAGCCTTCAGCAGGTTCTCCGTGTCGGCCACGATGAGCGTATGCTGCAGGAGCACAGGGAAGGGTGGTGGTCAGGAAAAGGTGCCCCCAAGCCAGGGGTCCTTCCCGACACCCTTGTGGTTTCTTAGCTGAGCTTTGCACTAACGGCCTGAAACCTGAAGGTGACAGGCCTGATTACCTGGCCAAGGTCTGAGATGTCATAGTTGTGATGGTCAATGACAGCCGTTTTCTCCTCATCAAACTCGATCCCACATTCACTGCCCAGCTCTCGAAGAGGGTCACCTGTACAGACCCAAGAGATATTTAGCTGAGCCCTTGTGGGTGGGACCTGGGCCAAGCTATGTCACTTGTCCTGGCATCCTGATGACTCTCTCTCCCCGTCACCCCCAAGGGCCCTGTAGCTTTACCGGGCCGGGCTCAGCCACAGCTAGACCACTGAACGACACCATGCTATTTTGCCTGCAAGGGTCTAAATATGAATTATTTTTAAAAAGCCACCTGGCCCTTCCTCTCCCTCCACAAATATGCAGTGACCTTAGTTCAGTGACCTTGTTTTCGGCACAAAAACCTGTGAAGTAAAGTAATACCTCAGGCAAATTTGACCTGGATGAGCCTCAGCTTACAAGGTTTCTCTCTTCCTCCTCATCACCTCACCAAAAACTCTACCCAGTACGGTTTTAAAAATCTCTCAATACTGAAAAAAAAAACAAAACAAGATTGGACAGGTGCTGTTCACGGCAGAAGCTGGGTGATAAGTACATGGGGTTCAGGATATTACTCTCCCCATACTCCTAATTCTAAGGATCTTTGAAATTTTCCAAAATAGGAAACAAAATTAAAAGGTGTCCAATGTTTTGGGCTCCACCCAATTAGGCTACTTGTCTTCTCTTTTTAAGGAAAGAGCTATCAAAATAAAAACAAAAGGAAACAAAGGAAAAAAAAAAAAACAAGGTTCCCAGGCCTTAAAAAGACCCACACCTCATTGGCTCTGGTCACAGGAACGGAGGGACTGAATGGCTCCACAGTTCCCACTCACTTCCTGGCCAGGACCACCCAGTGAATGCCGATTTGGCAGCTTCCATTTGCAAAGCTCTCCAAGTTTCCTGGAGAAATGGTGGAAAGTACAAGAATTCCCACGGTTCGACTTACCAATATCTGAGCTGGCAGCTACCAGGACACTGCCTCCACCATCAATAAAGGTGCTGATGGTCTCTACGTTGATGTTGCCTCCAAAATCTGAAAGAAGCACCAGACTCAGTGTTCCAAAAGGTTCCTCTTCCTGCTCCTCTGACATCTGGGCAGGAGCAGGTGGACTGCAGACTAGCCACAATCACAGAATAGCTCCCTCTGGAGGCCCAAAACGACAGGGACGTTTACCATCTATGCCCTTAGGGCAAGTCTCCCATTTTCCCAGTGGGATGGTCCAAAATTAATGGCTCAAATACCTAAACTTTTAAGAGTATAAATGAAATAGTCAAACACCTACCAGTTATAGCCAAGCTATTTATACACACTTCAAGTCATATGTAAAATATTTATTTAGAAATGCTGCATTTTTCCACTCACATTTCATGAAACAGCTTCAAAGTCATCACCTGCACCTTTCACATCAGTATCTGTCATCACTAGAGCCACTTTTGAAGTCACCTAACACAGTCTTCCAGAGCCCATCGACTTCACTTCCGTCCAAGTTGTCCGAGAAAGAGCACTTTTGAATATGATGCTGTCACCTAAGACTAGTACTTATTTGCACAAAACGAGTAGGGTCTTTTTCCTAGTAATCCTACCGACTTATACCCATGACAGCCATAACAGAACCGTTTTACATACTGCTTTTTTAAAGTGATCAGCAAAAAGACTCATTAATTTCCAACATTTGTAATTGTGAGATCATATCCCTTTTTGGTCAATTGGGTCAGGTGACTGCCCTAAATCATCCAAAACTAGGCTCAAGAAAGAGCCTTCCCCAAAATGTACCCTGATCTTCAACATAAAGGGAGGGAGTGCTCAGTAATTCATTTATTCATTAAATGAAAATTATTTATAGTGTGCTGAGAAGAAAAATAAGGGGACACTGAGGAAGGGGAGCTAGTAAATAAGGTTGGTCGGGGAAGACCCTGGACGGGTGGCATTTGAGAAGGTAGAAGAGTGAGCCAGGCAGCATGGGGGGAAGGGCATTCCAGGCACTGAGAATGGTGAGCATGTCACCAGCAAGGAGCCCACTGTGGCTCAGCTAGAGAGGGAAAGGCGGCGAGCGGCAGCAGAGAGAGGGGTGGCGTGAGGAGGGCGCCTCACACATGGCTTTGTGGGCCCCATGGAGACGCCAGCCATGGGGAGGCGCCGCTGCAGGGTTTTGAGCGGAAGGCCAACATGATCTGATTTGTTTTGAGGGGATGATGCTGGTGGCCAGGTGGAGAACTGGGTACAGTGAGTAAGGGTGGAGGCAGAGGGACGGGTTAGAAGGCTGCTGTGACACTCAGGGCAGTGCAGAGGTGACTGGACCACGGCAGAGGAAGGGAGGGGGGTGTGGAGGGGAGGCGCAGAGGGCAGTGGGGAGGAGGAGTGGGCCTCCGCTCACATTCCCAAGGCGGAGCCGGCCGCAGGGCCTGCTGGCGGATGGGGTACGGGCGGGAGACGCTGGGGACGGCCCCAATGTTTCTGGCCCCAGCTACCGGAAGGATGGAAGTGCCATTTACGAAGACTGGACATAGAAGTCTGTCCATTAAATATCCATTAGGCAGTGGGAAATGAGTCCATAATATGACTTTGTAAAGATCTATATATGAGAATGGCCCTCTTTTCTGAGGTAATTTTCAGGGGGAAAAAAGCACTATACCTTTCCTTCAGGCACAGACAGAACATCTTCTATGTGAGGACACGCCCCTCACACTACATTCAGAAAGCCATCTCTCCACTCTTCCACAGAGGCCAGGCGGTATCTTTGACAATTCAAAACTAGCTTCTTGGTACACTGCAGTGGCTCCCAACCCCTCAGGGCAGTGTCTGGAGACATTCCTGGCTGTCACTGGGGGAGGGGGTAGCTACTACCATCTAGTGAGTAGAGGCCCGGTGCACAGGACGGCCCGCAGATTAGCCAGTCCAAAATGTAAATGTAAGGACTGCAGCTGTTGAAACTTGTATAGTGAAAAAAATATAGGCTTTGAAATGAAGACACATGGGGGTAAATCTAGGCTATCCCTTCACATTTGAGTCCATTTCCCCATCTATAAAAAGGATCCAGATTTTTCTGGGTACAGAGAATGTGTTAAGGATCCTTCTGAAGCCACTATTACAAGTGACTTGGGAGATTCCTGATCCCAGAGAGGGCAAGGATCCCACGGACACCCGGAGAAGAAAGCCAGGCCGGCATCCCCCCACCTGAGAGGGCTACCGGTGGTCCCAGTACCACAGAAGCGCCCTCGGAGCAGGGGTTAAACCCTTACCTTGACACCTCACCCCACCCCAAGACAAAAGTCTTCTCCGCATGAGTGCCCAAGACAGCAGCATGACAACAGTGGCGTGGGGCAGGGCTTTAAATAATGCTGCCTCTCAAAGCCCTAGAGAGTTAGATTCCCATCCCAATTATTTTTCAAGCTTTCTCCATCAAAGAGAATGTCATAGTTTGATACAGGTCTTTAACACTTCCTTCACACTTGCTAATCTCTTTTAAGAGGAAGCCTCTGGCTGTAAGCCTTTGGCAGGCAACAGAATCTGATGAGAATTTAACAACACTGTATTCTATTTAGTCATCTTCTACTGAAAGCAAGAGATGATACCAGATTTCCATTTTCCATGGTGACACTGGGTTCATTACTAGTTTTCTTTTAAAATGTTATTTTAGTTTTTAAAAAGTGAGTCAATTTGAAGAAAAATATTAAGTAATTAGCACAGGTGATATGGAATATGGTAAAAATCATAAAGGAGGTACTGAAGTAGTTGGCTCATGTTTGTGAGATACTCTGAGGCTCTCTGATGTGTCTCCCACCTACCTTTTCAACCTTCTCCCTGTCTTACCCACCGTCTCCTCCTTTCTCAGTGACACTCCCAATCCACCTCCTGTGTGCTCCTCCACTCCCTCCCCACGAAGAGTTTGGCAACTCACTTCAAGTCCTTATTCTTATGTCTTCAAAGACACACTGAAAGAATTGCTCAAAGTCAGGCTCTGTCACTTTCAGAACCTATTTCAGAGTTGCAAACAGCAGAAACTTGGCAAACGCCAATTAACCTGCTAAAGACGCCATTCACCTGCCCAATAACTTGAAGGTTTTAACTTGTACAATCTGGGGTCACTTCCATCCAACTACACTTCATCCATAAAGCCAGTTCCAAAGACACATGTGTCAAGGAAGTTAGGGGTAACGTGATAAGGGGCCGGGAGCCTAAGAAAAAAAACTTCAAGGATTTAATCGTACCCCATTCACACGAACTACAGAGAATAAAGTAGCTTCCAATGAAACAAAAGACTCTAAGCTTCAACAACTGAAGGAAGAAATAGCAGTCTCGTCTTACCCCAGACAGGGACAAGCTGAGTCCTCTGAGGAAAAGGTAAACTGAAGCCACTAAAGAAGAGAATAACTAGAATGTTCACCAAAAAACCAGAGCAAAAGAGAAACGGCCAAAGGAACTGGGGATATTTAGTCTAGAGGAGAAACAGCTGAATAGGCTATGATTGTGTGAAGGCTATGCCTGTAAACAAAATAAGCATTAGACTCACTCTCTAAGGGCCCTAGGGAGTATAAGAAACCCCATCCTCCTCTCTCCCCCACCCCAAATAAACAAAGCAGGAAATAGGAGACAAATTTCAGTTTAAGAACTTTTTAACAGAGTTGTCTAGTAGTGGAGTGGATTGCCTCATAAGATAGTGGTAACCTCCCTATCACTGGAATACTGAAGGATCAGTTCAATAATCTCGTAAAGATAGTCATTCTGGTCAACAACTAGCCAGCCCTCTGGTAGGCCCTGGACATATCCATCCACCCTCAAATAAGGGGCTGGGCTAGATAATCGCCAATGTTCTTTTCAGCCTGAGAACTATGAATCCACCTGAATTCTTAAGGTCAACTACTACAATGCCCCTTTACAGCAAACCACAAACAGCATGCTACTTCCTCTTTCCACACAAGCCAACCCGTCCAGGAGCTCTCCACCTTCCCTACCAGGACTGTTACAGAGAAAACTCACTTTTCAGAGTAGTAGGGCCCCCAGCTCCATAGTTTGTGGCAACACTTAACCCCACAGTTCTCAGCTGTGTCTTTTGGAAAGGAGACGTGCTCTCCTGGGCCCAGGTTAGAAGTTAACATGTTCCTCTTCTCTGGAAGCAGCAGCGCCCAGCGCAGGCGACCCATCCCATGACCCAGAACATGCCCAAGATCCAAAAGAAAGTGATCGATAAGTCCCTGGGCCTCGAATCCTGGTTCTGGGGGCGCCGTGCACTCCTTACCTTCTACCGAGGGGGAGAAGATGATGAGATTGTCATAGAGGAACTCCCCATACTTAATAAGGGAAAGGCTGGGGTCATCTGCGGTCTTGAATGTGAGTTCAAAGCCCCGATCTGGACAAGAAGAAAACAGGGAGCTGAGGCAGACGGGATGCAAAGGGAAACCACCGCTGCAGAGATCACAATCGCCCTCCCCAACCCCCGCCCAAAGCAGCAGGCAGACCTGGGCGGCCCGCTCATGGCAAACGAGTGGGAGGGACGGTGGCCGATGCCCTCGGGCTCGGGGACCTTTCCAACCCCAAACTCTCACCCGCCGCCGCCTCAGACCACGGTCTCACCCTTCAAGCTCCGGAAGAAAAGGGAATGCGTCTCCCGCAGGTTGAGGTTGTCCAGCAGCACTAAGGTGCGGGGACCGCTGGAGCGGACCAGGTCAAGAGAGAGCAACAGCTGCAGCAGCCACAAAAAAGACCAAGCACGGGCCGAGGCGCCGGGCTTCATTTTTCTCCTCCAGCCAAAGAACCCAAGCACCTGGACACCGAAAGTGCCCCGTCTACGGTCGCCCAATCGCGGCTCGTGGTCGTGGAGTTCCACCCGGAAGTGATCTGGGTACGCCAGGGCTCGGCGTCCGGAGGCGCCGCTAGGACGGTGGGAGCCGGGAACGCCACCGGAAGTGCCCGGTTGTGGGCGGATCCCCTGAACCCTATTGGCGGAAGGGGTGTGCGGCTCCGCCTCTCCAGAGGAAAAGGCTCAATCCTAGAGAGACAGCTCTGCAGCCGCAGCCACTCAAGGCGGCCAGGCTCCCGCCCCAAGTCCCGAAGCTGCGCCTTCAGCAGAAGGGTCCTGGTCTCTTCGGTCTTGACCATTGGTGTCCTCAAAGGGATCTGGAGCGGCGGAGGCCAGCCCTGACCACCTCACTGGCCCAGGACAGACTAGGGACCAGGAACCAGACTTTACCTCCACCATCTCCAGAGAGGAAGGAGTTGGAAAAATAAGATCAGGGACAGGGGCACTTCGGTCTCCTGCCGCTGACAGGCCTAGGGGCCTTGGCACGGGCCTGTCCTGCCCAGCTTGGTGGCCCACGCTGGAGGCAGCGCGAGTGGGCGGTGGACTAATCTAGCTATTAAAAGGTTCTAGCTGGGTTCGTTCCCAAGCTCCGTCTCTCACTAGCTCTTTACCCGGGCATTTCTCTTCTCTCCAGGCCACTGACCCAGGCTGAAAATAAAAATAGCCAGCAGCAGCTCTCCTGCTCTCCTGCCACTGGAACAGCCTGGGCTCTTGGGAGGACTAGAGCAGGTTTTAAAGCACTTAGTGCAGGGCAAGGCCGAGCGATCGATCACTCAGTAATGCTGGCTGCCACCCCTTCTAAATTGATACACGGGCCGGGCTCACCTCAGGCCTCAGCCCCACCACAGGTCTATTAGAGCTCCCACAGGCAGCTCAAAGACTTCCATCCGCCTCTAATTCAGACTTGGTGCCAATCTGTTACTTAGGCGTCTGCCACAGCTCAGGTCTCCACCTAAACGTGTCTGGGCAGCCTCAACCTCCTCTTCATCTCTGCTCAGGGCTTATCTGGAACAGGTCTCATCCAACCTTTAACACACTCTCAGTTCCGACCTCCCTCCCCTTTTGCTCATGCAACTCCCTCTACCTGGAGCCCCATCCCCACATTCCGGCCTTAGGCCTCCCTGAATCTTCATCCTTTATGGGAGCCCCACCTGATGCTGCTCCCTTCACAAGAGTACTTTGTTCACCATAAAGACCTGATCTCTCTTCCTCTTACTCAAAGTTCATAGTGCAGCCTGCCTCCAGTGAGACTGATCTCCATAGTTACCTGAGCACCCTCCGCCCACCCTAGCTTCTCCAGAGCATGAGCTCCTTGGCCCAGGCAGGTGGCTTGTGGCACCTACCACAGTAATATAAAATACAGAGGAGGAGGAATGAGGGGGTAACACGGAGCTATGCACCAGATCTTTAGATATTATCTCATTTCACATTCACATTTGCACCATGAGATGGGTGTTACTCCCATTTCACAGATGACACTCAGAATGAAGTGAGGTTTAGGACAGAACCAAAGGCCAGCCCTTTTCCCTCAGATTGCAAGCCCCTCCCACAGAGCAGGCCTGGGCTACAATGGGCAAGGGGAGGGGTGTGTCCTAGGTTGCTGGGGTGGGCTGGATTCATTTCTGGCCCTGTCAGGACAACCAGTACCAGCACAGCCCCTGAGGGCTGACAAAACCTGGGCCTCAACAAGACATGGCCTCTGTTTTCCAAAACAAGGGCTCTGCTCCCCTGGGTCACAGATCCTTTGAGAATCTAATGATAGTTCAGATGTTTGTCCCCTCGTCCCCCCTCCAAAAAAAAAGCACTTGTACTCACAATTGCAGGGAGCTGCAAAAACTTTGGAGCCTGTTTGTTCTAAAAGCCCCAGATAGTTAAGAACCCCTCCTCCAGAAAGAGCTGCCCCATGAAGGCGAGGTAACAGTGGCAGGGAGGGGCCCTAGTGACCCTGACAGAGGATCAGGGAAGGGGAGCTTGTAGGTAAAAGGCAGTTTATTGGGGCAGCTTAATATGGAGTGGTCTCCTCTGGGCCATGGACCAGCAAGGAGTGGGCAGCAGGGTAAGAGTTGCTCTAGGATTCATGTACCCATCCCACAGAGCTTCCCCCAGTAAGTGGGGCCAACTGGACGGAGGCACAATTTTCAGTTGTCAAGATATGTAGCTTGATCCACGTGGGAGCAGCTGCCCACTCTGTCGGGGCTGCTGGTGAAGGCCTTGAGGCAGAGCTGAGGTTCTTGAGCCCACAGAGGCACAGTACAACACTGGGGGGCACAGATGGGGGGGTCTGTGGCAGGTGAGCAGATGGAAACACTGATGTGGCATGGAGAACCAGAGTGGACCTCTCCAAGGATGGTACAGCCTGCAAGGGGCTCCTGCCCAGGGCAGAAGTGGGCTCTCTGGGGAACAGGGAAAGGAATGTGTCTTCCCAGGGCGAGGGCCCCTCAGGCCCTCTGGTCACTATGGGGGTAGATGGGAGGAGGTCTGGCTGCGGCTGCCCTGGGAGGGCCTGGCGGTCTCACAGAAAGCCAAAGGCAGGGCAGCAGGCAGCTGTGTTCACAGGGGCTCACTGACAAAGCTGCTTTTGCTTTTCTTACGCTTGGCCTTGGTGAAGGGGATGTCGAGGGACTCAAGGCGGAAGGGCCGGGGCTGGGGCATTTCAGGGGCCTGGGTGGGTGGGATGGCAGAGTTGTTGCTGAGAGGGCAGCTGAGGCCTGGCGGTGAGTTGTGATGTGCTGTGGAAAAGAGGCACAGAAGGTACTGGTAAGCCAGGCATGCAGGGGATGGAGAGAAACACTGTGTGTGATACAGAGTCTGGCCTACCCCCCGACACCACCAGAGGCCCTGGTCTGACAGCTGGGACCCCAAGCTCTAAGCTGCTGCTCTGGTTGAGGCCTCAGACCCAGCTCTACATCTGCATCCAAAGGATCTGGGCTGGAAGTAGAGTTTTAAAGCCTCAGACTGAGGCAGCCTAGGATGTCAAGCCAGACAAGCTTGGGTTCAAAGCCCAGCTCCACCTCTTCAGGGAACCGCTTCTCTCTGAGCCTCAGTTTCCTCATCTGCAACATGGGCACAATGCCAAGCACTCAGCTGATATTAGTTTCTTTCCTGTCCAACTTTTCCCTTCTTGTTCCTCAACTCCATCCACTCTCTTTTAAATAACCTCAATATAGAACTGAGATGTGTTTTTCATTATTTTATTGGAAGCTCTATGGTCTTCAATTCTTGCTTTGGAAAGGCTTTTGTGTTCGTGGCCCTGTCTGCCCCCTTGGCTCAGTAAGAGAAGAAAGCCACTGTACTGGCATCTGAGGAAGATGGCAAGCGACTTACCCAGAGCCCTGCAACCCCACGCTGGGGCCCTGAGCAGTGTGTGGGGGCGGGGCAGCCTTCTACGTGTCAGGAGAGACAGATGAATCAACACAGCACATCTCTCCCAGGAAATGAAAGGGTCGAGGAAAAGAGAAACTGTATATTGAGCACCTACTGTGTGCCAGGCCTTGGGCTGGGTCACTTCCCTACCTTATCTCACACCTAGTCCTGAGGAGCAGCTGTATCCACTTCCTTTGGTAGCTGAGGACACTGAGGCTCAGAGAGGGAAAGGGGTTTTTAACTCGGGCCTGTCTGACTCCAAATCCACCCAGTCATGCCCCTCCCAGGTGGCAGAGGGCCTGGATGGCTCTCGAGGAGGAGATGGAGGACAAGAGGTGGGCAGGGCACTCACTGAGGCTCTTCATGGGATCCGTGCTGAGGATCTGGCTGGCCCGCTTCGGCCGGAAGTAGTTACTGGCAATATGTTCAC